GACCTGTGGGCGCGGCCTCGGCCTCCCCTGCTCGGCCGGCGGGTCTCGGTGGAGATCTGGCAAGCGGGATCATCCAGATCCCGGCAAGGACGGCGGCGACCCGTGCACGAGAGATGGAGGTCTTCGATCAGATCTGGGTGAAAACCTGCTATTGACTATTGCCAAGGCCGGCGATGGCGACGCTGTCTGCGTCGTTCCCTTCCTGAAGGCATCGCCATGGAGATGTTCAAGGCTACTCTCTGCTACCTTCGGGGGAAACCCTAAATCAGTAGATCGGATGACGGCGGCTCTCTGCTGTCGTTTCCCCCCTGGGGGCGTCATTCTTGGAGGTGCACACAGACTCGAGGGACTAGAGGACGGCGACTTTGGTGGAGCGGTGCTTCATCTTACACATTGATGGTGGCGGATCTCGGCGGCATGGTGCTGTGGAGACTCGGCGTCTGATGCGCGGAGATGGACTCGTGCAGGAGGAGGAAGCTGTCTGGCGTCATGGGGGCGTCGATGGCAGAGTGGCCAGACAAGGTAGAAGCCTCAATATAATCTGAAGACAGACCCGTGAAAGATGGCGGCGACGACACACGAGTGCGTCTGACCGGATTGTGCCCCAAACTTGGTATGTGGCTCGGCTGGGGATTCCGGCTTTTGATGTTAGGCTTAGATGAGTGGTTTGGGGTAGTGGCCCAGCTAGCACCTCTTCATCATATGGATAGGAGTAATGGCATATGTTGCCAAGATGGTGGATTCAGGTATATTCTTTGTAATACTTTGTAAGGTCCTCGAGAATAATCAATAAAGTGGCCGTATGCATCTCTCAGATGCAGAGGCCGGGGGTCATTCTCCTTTTCTAAAAAAACGATTAAAAAAATTGTATATCGGTCAACATTGTTAGCTATCCGATCTGATTGTGACCATTGTAAAATTGACCCGCAAGAAATGGACAAATCATTTTTGGATTTTAAAAAAAAACTTCGAACTAAAGTGCTCCAAAGCGTCCATACACCACTCTCAGAATGAGAAAACGACATGCCAGAAACGGCTCGAGACGTAGGGATCGGGGAAATGATAGGGTGAGATGGTGTGCGGTGCATGATGAGGGGTTCATGTGCAGATCAAGTCTCTCTAGCTAGCTAGCTAGCCAAGCTAGATAATGTACGAGTTTGGCATGTGGAGTGGAGGTCAGTGGCATGGACAACCACGTCCACTTCAACTGCATGCATGCTAGTGCAAGCTTAGCTTCAAGTCTTTAACCACTACAGTACCTGTCATCTACATTATCCATACTACACGAAACCGCATGGTAGGTTACTTACAAGTAAATTAAGGTCAGTAGAATAGTAGACGGATACCAACATTCCTGGTGTGGTGTGGTGTCAGTTGGCACGTCGCTCCTTCCATATCATCTGCCAGCACTCCCCATAGATATGCCAATAATGAACATGCCATGAATCTGGTTTTGAACTC